TCGTGATTCCATTGAGCTTTTTAAATCTGATATCTACTCCTCTTTTGATATAAATTTTTCAGTAAAATTCTATTAAATTTGAGCATTCATTTTTTTCGACTTGTGATAAAGTTGAGCTTTTCAAATATGATTTTTCTTAGCTAACAGTTCGCTGATGATCATTTTATTAGACGTTTGTTAAATTTTCAAACAATCTTTTTTTTTCTGATTATGAAGATGATTAGTAACCGACTCAGATATAATTGTGCTTGTTAACACTGGTTCGCTGATAACCTAAACCTCACGTTGTTTCTTTGGGAACATTTTTTCTCAGAGTTGTGCGATGTAGAAAAATCTGCAACATGCTTCATTTGTGAGTTTATAATTTTTGTTCAAGACCATAGTATTTGTGATAATGGGGATATAGATCCAACGCTGATTTCTGATTTATCTTTTGTTCTGATCTTTGTTTTAAGCATTTTAAAAAAAAATCGGACTATAACTGCTGGCAGCTGCTGGTAATCCTCTGAAAAGGCCAGTTTTTATTAAGAGAGTTTTCTTTTGATTTTAATGACAATGAAGTTTTCGTAGTTGATACAATTGAGTATTTCAAGTCTGATGTTTTGTAAATGTGTCTTTCTTCCTGGGTAAAAGTATTATGTTGTTTTAAGTGTTTTTCTTGATAAATTTCATGATAGTAGAAATGATGAGAGTAGTTTTTGATTCGTGATTCATTTGAGCTTTTTAAATCTGATATCTACTCCTCTTTAGCTATAGGTTTTGTAGTAAAATAAATTAAATTTGAGCGTTCATCTTTTTTTTCGACATGTGATAAAGTTGAGCTTTTTATATATGATTTTTCTTAGCTAACCTTTGGCTGATCATCTTTTTATTAGACGTTTGTTAAATTTTCTAACAATCTTTTTTCTCTGATTATCAAGATAATTAGTAACCGACTCAGATATAATTGAGCTTGTTAACTCTGGTTCACTGATAACCTAAATCTTATGTTGTTTCGCTGGGAACACTTTTTCTCGGAGATTTGCTATGTAGAAAAATCTGCAACATACTTCATTTGTGAGTTGATAACTTTTGTTCAAGACCGTAGTATTTGTGATAATAATGAGATAGATCCAACGCTGATTTCTGATTTACCTTTTGTTCTGATCTTTGTTTTTAGCTTTTTTTCAAAATCGGATTATAACTGCTAGCAACTGCTGGTAATCATCTGAAAAGGCCAATTTTTATTTAAAAAGTTTTCTTTTGATTTTAATGACAATGAAATTTTCTTAGATGATTTAATTGAGCCTTTTGAATCTGATGTTTTGTAAATGTGTCTTTCTCTTTCTGGGTAAAATATTATGTTATTTTGAGTGTTTTTTCTCGATAATAACCATGATAGTAGAAATGATGAGAATCTTTTTTGATTCGTGATTCAATTGAGGTTTTTAAATCTGATGTCTACTCCTCTTTTGATATAAAATTTTTTAGTAAAATATATTAAATTTGAGCGTTCATTTTTTTCGAGTAGTGATAAAGTTGAGCTTTCTAAATATGATTTTTTTTAGCTAACAGTTCGCTGATGATCATTTTATTAGGCGTTTGTTAATTTTTCAAACAATTCCTTTACTGATTATGAAAACAATTAGTAAACGACTCAGATATAATTGAGCTTGTTAACTCTGGTTCACTGATAACCTAAATCTTATGTTGTTTCGTTGGGAACACTTTTTCTCGGAGATTTGCGTTGTAGAAAAATCTGCAACATGCTTCTTTTGTGAGTATTTTTTTTGTTCAAGACCATAGTATTTGTGATAATAATGAGGTAGATCCAACGCTGATTTCTGATTTACCTTTTGTTCTTATCTTTTTTTCTAAAATTGGACTATAACTGCTAGCAGCTGCTGGTAATCCTTTGAAAAGGCCAATTTTTAATCAAAAAAACTTCTTCTAATTTTAATGACAATGAAATTTTCTTGGATGATACAATTGAGCCTTTTGGATCTGATGTTTTGTAAATGTGTCTTTCTCTTTTTGGGTAAAATATTATGTTTTTTTTTGAGTTTTGCTCGATAAAAACATGATAAGAGAAATGATGATAATATATTTTGATTCGTGATTCAATTGAGCTTTTTAAATCTGATATCTACTCCTCTTTTGATATAAATTTTGTAGTAAAAGTATATTAAATTTGAGCGTTCATCTTCTCTTTCACTTGTGATAAAGTTGAGCTTTTCAAATATGATTTTTCTTAGCTAACAGTTCGCTGATGATCATTTTGTTAGACGTTTGTTAAATTTTCAAACAATCTTCTTTTTCTGATCTTGAAGATGATTAGTAACCGACTCAGATATAATTGAGCTTGTTAACTCTGGTTCACTCATAACCTAAATCTTACGTTGTTTCATTGGGAACCTTTTTTCCTCGGAGATATGCGATGTAGAAAAATCTGCAACTTGCTTCATTTGTGAGTTGTTAACTTTTGTTCAAGACCGTAGTAGTCGTGATAATGATGAGATAGATCCAACGCTGATTTCTGGTTTACCTTTTGTTCTGATCTTTGTTTTTAGCATTTTTTAAAAGTCGTACTATAACTGCTAGCAGCTGCTGGTAATCCTCTGAAAAGGCCAATTTTTAATAAGAAAGTTTCCTTTTGATTTTTAATGGCAATGAAATTTTCATAGATTATACAATTGAGCCTTTTAGTTCTGATGTTTTGTAAGTGTGTATTTCTCTTCCTGGATAAAAGTATTTTGTTATTTAAATTGTTTCTCTCGATAAAAAACATGATAGTAGAAATGATGAGAGTAGTTTTTGATTCACGAATCATTTGAGATTTTTAAATCTGATATCTACTCTTGTTTTGCTATAAAATTTCTGGTGAAAAATAATAAGTTTGAGCGTCCATCTTTGAGAGTGATGGCACTATTCTTTTCTATATGTGATGAAGTTGAGCTTCTTAATTATGATTTGTTTTGCTAACAGCTCGCTGATCATTATTTTAATAGACGTTTTTAAAATTTTCGAACAATTTTTTGTTTCTGATTATGAAGAAAATAAGTGATTGACTCAGATATAATCGAGCTTGTCAAATCTGGTTAACTGATAACCTAAATCTAACGTTGTTTCATTGGAAACCTTTTTTTCTCGGAGATATGCGATGTAGAAAAATCTGCAACTTGCTTCATTTGTGAGTTGATAACTTTTGTTCAAGACCGTAGTATTCGTGATAATGATGAGATAGATCCAACGCTGATTTCTGGTTTACCTTTTGTTCTGATCTTTGTTTTTAGCTTTTTTTAAAAGTCGTACTATAACTGCTAGCAGCTGCTGGTAATCCTCTGAAAAGGCCAATTTTTAATAAGAAAGTTTCCTTTTGATTTTTAATGACAATGAAATTTTCATAGATTATACAATTGAGCCTTTTAGTTCTGATGTTTTGTAAGTGTGTCTTTCTCTTCCTGGATAAAAGTATTTTTTTAATTAAATTGTTTCTCTCGATAAAAAACATGATAGTAGAAATGATGAGAGTAGTTTTTGATTCACGAATCATTTGAGATTTTTAAATCTGATATCTACTCTTGTTTTGCTATAAAATTTCTGGTGAAAAATAATAAGTTTGAGCGTCCATCTTTGAGAGTGATGGCACTATTCTTTTCTATATGTGATGAAATTGAGCTTCTTAATTATGATTTGTTTTGCTAACAGCTCGCTGATCATCATTTTAATAGATGTTTTTAAAATTTTCGAACAATTTTTTGTTTCTGATTATGAAGAAAATAAGTGATTGACTCAGATATAATCGAGCTTGTCAAATCTGGCTAACTGATAACCTAAATCTAACGTTGTTTCATTGGGAACACTTTTTCTCGGAGATATGCGATGAAGAAAAATCTGCACCATGCTTCATTTGTGAGTTGTTAATTTTTGTTCGAGATCGTAGTATTAGTGATAAAGATGATATAGATCCCACGCTGATTTCTGATTTACTTTTTGTTCTCATCTTTGTATTTAGCAATTTATTTTTGAAAAAATTGGACTATAACTGCTAGCAGCTGCTGGTAATCCTCTGAAAACGCCAATTTTTAATAGGGAATATTCCTTTTGATTTTTAATGACAATGAACTTTTCATAGATGATACGATTGAGCCTTTCAATTCTGATGTTTTGTATGTGTGTCTTTTTCTTCCTGGGTAAAAGTATCATGTTGTTTTAAGTGTTTTTCTCGATAAAATTCTTGATAGTAGAAATGATGAGAGTAGTTTTTGATTCGTGATTCATCTGAGCTTTTTAAACCTGATATCTACTCTTGTTTTGCTATAAATTTCTGGTAAAAATTAATAAGTTTGAGCGTCTTTCTTTGAGAGTGATGGCACTATTCTTTTCTATTTTTGATGATGTTGAGCATCTTAATAATGATTTTTTTTGCAAACAGTTCGGTGATCATCATTTTAGTCGTTTTTAAAATTTTCAAACAATTTTCTGTTTCTGATTATGAAGACAATCAGTAAACGACTCGTGATATAAATGAGCTTGTTAAATCTGGTTCATTGATAACATAAATCTAACGTTGTTTTTTTTTTTTCAAATATTTTTTTCTCTGAGGTATGCGATGAACAAAGGTCTGCACCATGCTTCTTTTGTGAAATGATATTTTCTGTTCAAGCCCGTAGTAATTGTGGATGATACTATATTTTTTATGTTTTCTTCTGATTCTAATGACAATGAAAATTTCATAGTTGATACATTTGAGCCTTTTTATCTGAGCCTTTTTGGTACATTTGAGCCTTTTTTAGGTTATGGTTCACTGATAACCTAAATCTAACGTTTTTTTGTGAACACTTTTTCTCTGAGGTATGCGATGAAGAAAAATCTGCACCTTGCTTCATTTGTGAGTTGATGACTTTTTTCGAGTCCGTAGTTTTATGTGATAAAGATGAAATAGATCCAACGCTGGTTTCTGAGCACTCATCTTTTTCATTTACGATTTAAAAAAATTGATGATCACCTGTGGCGTTTAGGGACTCGTTCTCTCAGGACTATGAGCTAAGAGAGTATGGCTCACTGGGAACCTCAGTTGAAGAACAGTACGAATGGCCCCAGTCCCCCTCCACCTCCCAATTCATGTACTCCTCCAACGGCAACAACTTCTTCTCCCATTATGTGAGAAATCCATCAGATGAGGCTCGCATCCCAGAAGAAGACACGCATGACATGGAAGATTTTGATGAGTTCGAACAGGAAGAAGAGTTCGGACAGAGCTTCGATGCTTCTACGTTGTCTTCTGTCGATCAAGGTTATTTTTTATCCCCTATCTTTTAGTTGCCACTCAAACTAAAAGATTGCGATCTACTGAATGTGTTTGTTTTTAAGACGTTTCCCCGGCAAAAAGGAGTTGCTTTTGTTAATTTGTTGTCCCTTCATATGACAATATATCCATAAGTTTTTAACATGTCGTTTTGCTGTTATCCTAAATTTTTTTTGCCAGTTTGTAGCTAAAAAATTGATTTTTATTGATGTTTTAGAGAAACTGAAAGCGTGTATGGTGCAAGTTCAGAACGTGGTCGGAGACTCAATCTGTGATTCCCTCATTATTCAGAACCTCATCAAGTTCAACTTCAATTTAGACCACACAATAGACGCATTGGTCTCCAGTCCACGCAATCGTGACAAACAGTCCAAGATGTTCTTCTCATCAACGCCTCACGCTAACCAATCCCAGATCAGCAATACTAAATCAAAAGCAAATACAGAAACAGATGCCAGTAAAAGGGTGCTACAATTCGATCATCTCACAATCACAGAAAAACAATCAACAATACTAAACAACAACAAAGATACAAACATGAAAACAGTGGATGTGCTAACCAATATCGATTCAAAAATGTCAGACGAGAAGTCACGGATTAGATTAGATTCTGCTAGTTCTGGGCCGATTCAGTATAACAACCAGTTTTCTAATGTGTCTCCCCAAGTTTCAAAAACAAGTAGCAGTGACCCTGCAACCGCACCACTGTATGAAGAACCAGTTATGGATGAGAAAACAAAAGCGATGTTACTCGAGGAGACTAAAAAGCCGACGCTGAGCATAGTTGTAATAGGTCATGTAGACGCTGGCAAAAGTACTCTAGTAGGTCACCTACTGTACAAAATTGGTTATGTTACTAAAAAGGAGATCAACAAATTTGAACAGGAGTCTAAGAAGGAAGGAAAATCATCTTTTGCTCTGGCCTGGGTTATGGATGAGAACGCGAGTGAACGAAGTCGGGGTATTACTATGGAAATTTCTGAGAAGTATTTTGAAACTCCGAAGTATTACATAACAATTGTGGACGCCCCTGGACATAAAGACTTCATACCAGCGATGATCACAGGAGCAGCGGAAGCTGACGCTGCGGTGCTTGTTGTTGACGCTTCTGCAAATGCTTTTGAATCTGGGTTTAATGCTAAAGATTTGTCATCTGGACAAACAGGCGAACATTCAGTATTAGCAAGGTCTCTCGGAATCCAGAACTTGATTGTTGTCGTGAATAAAATCGACTCTTGCGCATCGCCTGCCGACAGAATGACCGAAATAGAAAACATACTGACTCCGTTTTTGACGAAAAAGGCGGGATACAAACCTAGTGATATTCAGTTTTTACCCTGTAGTGGGTACTACGGTACTAATATTAAAGAGAAAGGTGATATGACTTGGTTCAAAGGACCGACTTTGCTCGAAGCGATCGATTCTCTGCCTCAACCGACGAGAGCAATTGACCAGCCGTTTTGTATGGCCGTAACAGATACAGTGAAAGTATCATCAAACAATATCACGGTGTCCGGAATTGTAAAAACCGGATTTGTCAAACATAATGAAAAGGTGTTTTTGCAGCCCGCGAACTTACCGACAGTCATCAAAGGAATCAAAGTGCTGGATAAAACTACCCGTGGTAGCAGTACCGCTATGGCTGGAAATGCTTCTATAGCAGTTGCTGGATCTCATTTACATTGTGTACTTAACATCGACAGTGCCTCGGTAGTGCCTGGGAGTTTTGTATGCGCGCATAACAATAATAATCAAACGATGTTAGTAACGAGTTCTTTCTACGCCAGAATCGTGACTTACAGTTCCAGTGAGATTTTAACCAGAGGAGCCGCAGCTGAGATGCATTACATAACTCTTCAAGAGCCAGTTTACATTAAGAAAATAGTGGGTCTGTTGGACAAATCAGGTGCTGTTACAAAACGCAATCCGAAATTCGTGCCTAAAAGTTCACAAGCGATGGTTATAATATCAACCCAGAGAAACATTTGCGTGCAGTTATTTAATACAAGTAAAATTCTAGGCAGGTTTATGTTGAGAGTGAATGGAACTACAGTTGCGGCTGGAGTGGTCGATAAAGTTTCGTGATCATAATTTTGACGACCGTTTACTGTGCATTTAAATAAATACGTATCTATCCTTGGAATTAGTATTGTGTAAATGGGAATTCAGTTAAAAATCCGCTTTCATATCAATTCATAGTCATCACCTGTAGAAAGTTCAGGCAGGAGGAAAATTGCAGAAAAGATTGGATTCTGCTAGGTAAAACTCTTTGCAGGGAAAAACTATATTCCTTCCTTGTGGTAGGATATTTAAGTTTTCAGTTAGTTGACGTTGTCTTCTTTAATTTCAATGAAAGATGTTATATCTTTTGTAGGCCGTGCGGGTTTCGTTATTACGGATTTATTTCTTCAAATTTGCACGTTTGGTTTTCAGTAGTTTGAGATTTATATTATTTAGTTTTTTTTTAGTACTTTTGAAGTTTCTGTAAATTTCAAAGATTTGCAATTTACAGAAACTTCAATATTTATTGAAGTTTCTTCAATATTTTTGAAGAATAAAATTTAAAAAAACTGCAGAAACTCTAAAAAATGGAAAAAATTTGTCTTGATCTCGTTTTTGCCTCAAATATAGTTATTTAAATATTTAAGTTATTTATAGTTAGTCAAATATTTTTCCACGCCGAATCTGTTACCACAAAAATTCATTGGAGTAGATCGAGTGCTATAGCGTTTTAAAGTCCTTTTAGTCGTGATTCGAACGACTTGAGAAATATGTTCAGAACATTTTTAAGAGTAATGAACCGACTTGAAATTTTTGATTTCAATCTAATTTCGAGCGAGTAAAGGGAGGGATTAGGTCTTATGATAGGAAATTATCAGCGTTTATTTACGCGGTTTGAGAACTGGTTCATCGATCATTCTTACAGCGCTTTGTCGGCATTCCAAGAATACAGTGCTGATTTAAATTAACCGGACAAAACGCGTTAAACTTGAAATTTAAAATGCATTTTTCTCAAATTGGGTTGAGTTTAGGTGAAAACTTATGAAGACAAAACTTGCCTAAAATTTAAGCAGAATTAATACGGTGTAATTTGTTTTGCAAAATTCGGGTCCAAAATTTAGTTCCAAAAATGGGTCATTTTGGCTTTTCTTAGTTAATAAAAAATTACGCCAAAAATACCCAGTCGATCACAGAGATAATTATATCAAAGGGAGCCTCTTAGGAAGCCCAACAAACTTTAAAAAGGTTATAATCTCCAAAATATTGTATAAATTAATTTATTTTTGTTTGATAGACAAAAAAGGTCGTTTTTACTACATAAAATACCAACTTTTAACTTAAAAACAATTTTTAAACAATTTCCAAATTTCTTTTGGAGAGAATACCCTTCATAAAGTTTGTTGGGCTACGTAATAGGCTCCCTTTGATATAATTATGTCTGTGATCGACTGGGTATTTTCAGCGTAATTTTTGATTAACTAAGAAAAGCCAAAATTATCCATTTTTGGGTTAAAATTCCGGGCCCGAATTTTGCAAAACAAATTACACCATATTCATTCTGCTGAAATTTTAAGCAAGTTTTGTCTCCATAAGTTTTCACCTAAACTCAAGCCAATTTGAGAAAAACGCGTTTTAAGTTTCAAGTTTAGCTCGTTTTGTCCGGTTAATTTAAATCAGCACTGTAGTTTGATAAGAGACAATATAACAGTTAATGTAAAGTGTAAATCGCAATAGAATTAAATTTTTAATTTTCGTGATCTTCTGTGACTAATTTTCTTTGACACCGAAAAAACTTTATGAATTGTTAGGGAATCTCCAATCAATCACGACCAATAGGGCTTTGAAATACTACACTTGATCCCCTGCGAGCTTTTCTTGAGGCTCCTAAAATGGGCGGGAAAAACTTCTTATCTATAGTTCCTTCCCGTCATTTAATGTGCGTGGTCGGAACAAAAAAAAACTGCTTCTTCTCTTATGCATAGATATTTTTTTTTACAGTTGAGAGAGCAATTGCTTGTAATCGGTAACTAGACTGTTTCCTTACACTTCTGCATTCACTTCTTTTTTCACTTCTTCTTTTCTTTATTGTCTTCATTTCTTCTCTTAACATTTTTCAGGTTCCTTCCCACTTGTTGAATGTCTGAAGTCAAATGTTTTGCAGAAAATTTTTGCATAGAATTCCTGGTTAATAAAAACAAGTTTCATGAAAATGTGCAAAAAAACTAAAAATTTGCAAAAATATTTGTTTTCTTCAAATAAATGTCCCGATTTTCAAAAAACGGATTCAATGAAAAGACCTCCTATTATCCTATGTGCCTGCATAATCCCCAAGTCTTGTCTTTCGTTACCCGACTGTCTGCTGCCTTCGAAAAAGTCTGTGGGAGAAATATTTGAACCATATTTTTGGATTTATTTCGTTTTCTCAAAAACTTATCTCTCAAATCAGAGCAGCCATTCCTCTCCATTGAAACTATCCACTTAAATCTGATTTGAGAGATAAATTTTTGAGAAAACGAAAAAAAAAATCCAGAGGAAAGGCTGCGGAAAGCTCCCCTGCATCAGCGGCTACGCCAAACTTTTTTGTAAACAAAACTTATGGCCCTCGAAATAGTCAAATATTTGATTTTTGAGCGTAGGGTGAAGCTCCACTGCATAATCGAACCGCCCAATTTCTTAACACAATAAGTTATGGCGAATTATCAAAATATTTGATTTGTTTGCCGTTTTTAGAAATTTTTAAGAATTTTTTTCGATAACTATCCTGCCAAATCGGATATCAACTCATCGGATATCAAAATAACAGGTTTTTGAACGCTTAATTTTATGTTGAGAAAACAATAATGGTTCGTGAAAAGCTCCCTAGCTACACCCAAACTTCTTTACACAAAACGTATGGCACTCGAAATTGTCAAATATTTATTTTTTTGAGCGTTTTTGAAGCTTTTTTGTCTTTGATCGATTGCTCGCCTTCAAAATTTGAGACTTTAGGTTCAATCGGGGAAAATTTTGGTGGAAGTTTCTCTGCGTAATCGAATACGCCCAATTTTTTAACACAAAAAGTAATGGCTCTGGGAAATATCAAAATTTTTGATCCGTTTTGTGAAACTGACTTTTCTCGAACTACCCTCACAAATCTAAGACTTTGGTTTCAATCAAAAAAAGCGGTTTGTGTGAAGCTCTCCTGCATAATCGATTACGCTCATTTTTCACATGAAAATTTGTTGCCCGAAAAGTCAATTTTTTTAACCGTTTTTTGAAACTACTTGATTTTTCTCAAAAACTACCCTCCCAAAAACTCAGATTTGGGAGGGTAGTTTTTGAGAAAAATCAAGTAGTTTCAAAAAACGGTTAAAAAAATTGACTTTTCGGGCAATAAATGTTCATATAACAACAGAGGGTGATTGATTATGCTTGAGTCTCTTCTGCGTAAGCACTACGCCCAAATTTTGTAACACAAAAAGCGTTGATTCTCGGAAACGTCAAAATGTTGATTTTTTGATTGTTTTTTGGAAACGTTTGAGAACTTCCTCGATAACTGTCCTACCAAATCGGATTTCAAGTCATTGGATATCGGAAAAACCAGGTTGTTGAAAGCCTAATTTTATGTTTAGAAAAAAGTTATGGGTTACGAAAAGCTCAACGGCAGCACCCACAATTTTTTACACAATGTATGACACTCGAAATAGTCAAATGTTTGATTGTTTTGAGCGTTTGTTGAAGCTTTTCGACTTTTCTCGAAACCCTCCTCCCAAATCTGTGACTAGGTTCAATCGGAAAAGGGGTTATGTGAAGTTCACATGCATAAACGATTGCAATCAATTTTTTAACACAAAAAGTTTCGACCCTCGGAAAAATCGAATTTTTGATTTTTTGACTTGAGTTTTGTCAAGAACTACCCTCACAAATATAAGATTTTAGTTGCGATCGAAAAACGGGTTATGTGAAGCTGCCCTGCATAATCGAATACGCCCAATTGCTTAATACAAAAAGTTATGGAGCTGAAATATATCAAAGTTTTTGGTGTGTTGACCGTTTTTGGATATTTATAAGAATTTCCCCGATAACTATCCTGCCAAATCGGATATCAAGCTAAAAAACTGTTAGAAGCCTACTTTAAACTTTGACCGTTTTTTGGAATTCTTAGACTGTTCATGAAAACAGCCCTGGGAATTCTTAGGTTAAGTGTTAAATCAAGAACCCTAGTTTTGGGAATCTTTGCTTAAACGGCCACGACCTACTTTTTTTGCAGAAAAAATTAATCGGTCTCGAAAAGTCTTTAAACTTTTTGATTTTCCCTCAAAGCTACGCTATCAAATCTGAGATGAAGGTTCAATCGAAAGAACCGGTCGAGAGAATTTGTTGCCAGAAGTGGTGACTCCTTAATTTCGTTGAGAAAATTCCAATATCTTTTCACTCTTCTGACTTATTTTAGGAGAGAAACAACAAAGATTTTCGGCAAAGTCCAATTTTTGAAATCCGTATAGCAAATTTAAAGAGAAGATGATAAACGCGTACCTCTAGCTATAGCGAGGCGCCTATTTATCTTCATCGAGACATACGAAAAATTTGGTTCACCTTGTTTTTTCAGCTTTTTTTCGACTTTTTGTGTGTTGTGTCGCAACTGGCGCAAAGCTCCGCTTCGCCCGTGTGCAAATATTTAAATACACGAACGATCTGTCTACTGTAAGTTTCATTTTTTTGAAGTTCCGCCTATTTTGATGTTGCTTTCAAATTAATAATGGTCAAACGTATTCTTTTAAGTGAAAACAGGATATTTTCAAGTCTGAAAAAGTGGGCCGTCTTTACCTTCGTTTACTTTCTGTTTCGGCGTAGAAAATTTTAGAGAAAGCTAAAATCACAATTTGAATATTGTGGTCACCATTATCTATAGAATCAACTCCAAGAAAAAACAGTTTAACATAAAAGGTTAACAAATTTATTTAATAGCTTTTCGAAAGTGCTTCAAAATTGTAAATTGTTAAAATTGATATACCAGTCAAGCGCATTTTTTCTAGCTGTTTCAAAAAATTATCAACGTTAAGTTGAAAGTGCTTGCAGATTATTTCTAAGTCTGAAAAAGTTGGTCTTCTCCATCTTCGGTTACTTCTCCCACGAAGTGAGAAGCTTCAGGAAAGCTAAAGTGGCAGAAAAAATTAGCCAGGAAAATAGGCAAATATCGAAGCAAAAAAAGGAAAACAGAAAACTCGAATTAACTTTCTTTTACTAGCAAACGCTCGTTTTGTACGAGTTTAATTTTATAACCCCAATAGCTGGTAATCTATCTATTATATATTTAAATGCGGGATTCACTATCGGGCCACGTCTAAGCTTTTTCAATGTATTATTTTTGCATGCTTAACGAAAGAATTTTTTCACGTTAAAGATACATCGTATATTGCAATGGTAAAGAATTTTTTTTTGATTTTCCAGTTGAATTCAGTGTTTATTTAACCGAGTTTAAAATAAGCAGCATAATAGTGGAATGTTGTCGGGGTTTCCACAGTGGTTGCGAATTTGACCTTCAATGATGAAAGTCCAAATCTTTTTAGTGTATAAGATACGATGATTTATGTTTTTTTTTCAAAATTTTTCCGAAAACTCAAATTACAAAGTAGTTCACAAAATTTGAAATTTCCAACCTTGCTGTTGGGTGCTGTCAGATTACTCTCAAGGGTTGCGAATCTTGCTTTCAAGTATGTAGTTCAACCTTGTAGTTCCCGAGATATGACGTGTGGTGCTGTCAGGGTAAATTCAAAGGTTGCAAATCGGCTGTCCATGTGTGACTGCTCAAATCCTTTTGGTTTTCGAGATACGGCGTTTTGTATGATTTCTTAAATTTTTTTCAGACCTTGTTTTTTCAAACTGTATTTTAAAAATTCAAAAGATTTGAAATTCCGAACCTTGTAGTTGTGTACTCCGAAGGTACTCTCACGAGTTCCAAGTTGCAAATATTACGTCGAACTGCGACTGCTCAAACGTTCTTAATTTCCGAGATGTGACGTTTGTTATATCTTTTTTTTTTCAAGTTCTTCCAAGTCTTTTTTTCCAGAATTTGAAATTCCTTACCCTGTAGTTGGGCGCAGTTGAATCTTGCCTCCGAATTTGGTTGGTCAAAAGATATGGCGTTTTTTATGGCTTTTCGAATATGAAGTTTAAGAAAATTTGAAATTCCCAACGCTGTAGTAGGGTACTGTGAGAGTACTCTCAGGATATGGTTTTATGATTTTTCAAAGTTTGAATTAAAAAAAAACTTGAATAAAAAAAACATTTTACAAAATTTGAAATTACCACCCTGTAATCAGGTGCTGTCAGAGTACACTCAAAAGATGTAGATCTCATTTCAAGTATATGCGGTTTTCTCTAGTTTTCTTAGAAAATCGAAGCATCGGAGTTGAGTTACAAGCTAGTTGGTATTTATAAGCCAATATATAAATGATATAGGTGTTTTTTCCTGTAAATAACTTTCTTACAAATGGTAACAAACAAGTTGTTTCATGCATGTGAAGTAATTATGTAAAAAGTCCCATGATACCATCAATATAGCAAGCTTGGTAAGAGTCCATGAACGGAGTCAGACTCTTATATATTTGGTGACGATTTTTTTCAGGAAAGGTCTTGAAATTTGTTCACGCTCAATTTTGATTTTTTGCGGTTTGACTTTTGATTTTTGTTGAAGTTCATTTTATCTCATTTGTAAACGGAAAACAATTTCCACTAACGAACAGCAAACGTGTTCAGTTTACGAAAAACGTGATCAACTTTTAATTTCGAAAATGGAATTCAATTAAAATTTTCAGATTTTCCAGCAAAATGAGAAAGTTATCTCTTGATCCAGTTATCTCAAATTTGAATGGTTTCATCAAAAAAAACTTGATCAATTATAATTTCGAAAATAAATTTTAAACTTTAAGATTTTCCAGTGGAATAAAAAATATACCTTAGTTAGCTTTCTAAATATACCTTAGGTAATAAAATTAAATATAACTTTCTCAAATTGGGTTGGTTTTATCAAAAAATCGTGAGCGACTTCTAATTTCGAAAATAGATTTTGAATTTTCAGATTTTCCAGCGAAATAAAAAATTATGTTCAATTTTTTTTTCAATTCAAATTCTTTTGCCAAAAGAAAGGCGCATGAAAACGAAGTTTGCTCGACAAAAGGGGAAAAAACTTCTAGTTTTGAAAGTTCTTAAATTTTTAGTTCTTAGATTTTTCTGTTGAATATAAAGTGTGTTTATTGATCCAGTTTTCTCACATTGGGTGAAGTTTAGCAAAAAAAAATTATTGTTGATCATAAAATGTTCTAAAAAGCTAAAGGCCACTATTTTTTCACTTTTGAATTTTGAAAATTAGGGTTTTGACGAGAAACAAGTCAGTATTTTTTTCTGTTTTCTTGAATCCATTGACTCTTTTCCAAGTATCTGTTGGCTCTGTTTCCACTCTTTACTTAATTTCTCCTGAACAAAGTTATTCACACTAATTATTAATCAAGACAATTATTTTTTCATTGCAGTCTTAGTCACGGATTAAACGGCTTCAGTATGATATACTGATCAATCATAGGTTAGCTGAACACTAAAACCTACTCATGCCCACACAAACACTGTCAATTCTTTAGATATGCTTGAGTTGTTTTTATCTGCCTATTTAGTAGTTGCCCGAAGTTTTCCTTAATCATATATATTTGTTAAACATAAGAGAGGAGGGCCTCATAAAAAGATAGGTTTTAGATCATTACCTCCCCAATCATGCCAAATGAAGATCTTCACCCGGTGATATATTACAATAGGTGGTAGGCTCAATTTGAATAGCTGGATCGTTTTTTGTTATACTTCGCACATTGTTTAAAATTTGCTTCAAAAGCAAAATTTTTTGGCAAAGTAAATTTTGAATTTTTGAATAGCATTTCATTTGGCAGAGCAATGTATTTACAAAAACTATCTTAGTAGTAGTATAATTGATTGAAAATGAAATGGCTACATTATGCATTATAGTTCTCAAATTTAATACATGCATTACACTCAAAATTACCACCTATTGTAACATATCACCCTTAACTCATTATTTTCCATGAATCGGGTATTCATTTTTCTTTTCGCGTATGTACAACAAAAAACATTCACGGATTTCGGGTGACCTATCATTTTACAGCCGGGCGTGATTTGACCGATAATTTTTGTTTTCTGTGTTAAAAAAACCGTTTTGAAATTTTGCGTTTTAGTCCAACTTAGAGCTAGCAAAGTCAGGCGAGTAGCTGTTAGTGCCAAAAAACTATTTATTAAGCTGTTGAAAACCAGGGCGTAGACTTATGAGTAGAACAGAAGAGTAAAACAAGTAAGTAAAAATCATGTTGAAACAGAATGAGAAATATAACAAAAATTTTCCAGATTTGCTAAAATTTGCCGCAGTTTGTACTTCCCATTTGCTATTGGGTTGAGCTACGGGTCCGTGCGAAACCAACTGCTTGTGCAAAAGGCAGGAAAATTGACTTCTCGTATAAACAATTTAATTGTCGATTTGATCGTTTAACGGCAACTTTTTTAAAATGTTTTGCTCATAGGTAATTTATGAAGAAATAAGCAGAAAAGGAGATTTTAAAAAAATAGAAAAACGTGTTTTTCTTTACGTTTAAAACCTGTTTTACTGAATAGTTTGATTAAAAACGTTTTAAATCCTACCCTGTTGAAACCCTACCGAGTTCAAAAATGCAAATGCTAAGGATATTCACACGGACTATTATATTACAAATAGCACTTTAGCTTCAAGGTATCATGAATCTGTAGCGTTGAAGTAGGGAAGGAGACCCGCAACAAAATAAAAGGATTCGAACCTGGGATGGGTCGGATGTTTTCAATGAGCTTTTGCGTATACTAGTTAAAAAGCGTTCGCTCTATAAATTGAGGCATGTTAGTTGGTAAATTTCTTTTTATTTCAAATTAACTGGAACTGCTAATGCGTCATAATTGGCGTGCGTCACTCAAGAAAATTCTTAGACTCAAGGTTTTTGCTCATTCAGTTTTTCCTAGCAGCGTTATCCGTCATATTGTTGCTTGAGCAAATGAAAAAAAAACAGTTATATCAAAGAACCATCTTTCGTTTTGCAAAGTAAACTGCAATCAATTAAATTTTCTAGTAAGGTTTTAAACTTAGTTTTAGTTCCTTGCCTCTGACCACGCTTAAAAAAGACGCCGGATTTCTGTTATTTACTTTGCTACTCGCACTGCAACCAGCAATTCTTTAATTTTCTATTAAATTACTTAGCTCTGAATTCAATCGGCTGAATCAACTCCCAAATTCAAACTTTTTGATACAACTCTTTAACATTCCGTTTGACCTCTTGAGATCTCTTTACTAAGCCAGAGATATTGATTTTTCAGATAGCTAGTGAATATGAACAGAACAAGTCGTCCAACTGTCGCCGGTTATGCGACTCAGCCAATAACCAGATTTTAGCCGATAGATCAGTCAAAAATTCTCCCTCCCTTCCCTTTGGCTTAGCTTAGAATAGACACCTTGTTAGTAAATATTTGTCAAACAAGTTTATCACACAGCTTTTAAACACTTGAGAAACGGAATCCGGGAAGCGATCATTGAACCGATCCGTGGAGCTAATACGTGGGTAATATTCAACTAAATGCTGTTGTGGTTAAGTGTGGTAACCGCATTGGCCTAGTCTGGAATTAGCCACAGGATTGGAAGTAGACGACAACGGTTGGTCGAATAAGAGTTAAAAGAGTTAAGGTGTGGCTTGCCTCATTCTACCGTTCCATGCTCAGAGAAGACGAAAAGCGCGAACATTATTAAATCGAGCTTTAAGTGAGTGTTATTAGATATTCGCTCTCGAATGGTATTTTTGAATTACTGTAGAGGTCAGTCTTCGCCTCAAATTTCAATCAAATGTCAAAATAAGAAGACGACCTGAACTGTTGTCCTGATTTTTTCTAGAAATAATGTAGATGGCTCATAGCCGTTTGCCTATTATCATTTCCTCATTTCAAAGACATAGAATTGCGCGGATTTAGTTCCACCAATTTTCTCACATTCTGTATGGCAAATAAAAATAACTAAATGATGCATTTGAAGTTCCTTTGGCTAACATCTGCGAGATTTTGAAACCTTTGTACAGTCACGAGTCAAAGTATTAAAAGCAACTTTTATTTTTCAAGTGATGAAATGAACGAAATGTTTTTCGCGTTTTCGCCGTTGTCTTTACAAATACTAGAGATTCATGGTTAAAACTGTGACTTATGATGAATGAAACTGTTTCTTATAATAATGCCTGATAGAAAACTGTAAAAAGTGTTTTCAAGGCGTCGTTTGGCCATTTAGTTAGAGGGCGTCAGAGAGGTTTTCTGTGTGCCAAAAATTACCCGTAAAAAGCAGGAGCAGTTTGAAATTTGGGACTTAGGAGTTCCTTGGAAAACTAAGGATCTAAGTTGCTCACTCATATAGGTTTCAATTCACATTAACTCAGTTTTTTTCTAAGAGCTTAACAAAACTTTTAATTCTTGTAAATTTGATTTGAAACCTAGCTTATGAGGTCCTAGCTTAGATCCTTACATTTCCAACGAGTTCTTAAATGTGTCAAACTGGTTCTGCTGTTTACGGGAGTTTTTTGGCACAAAGAGCACATAACTGACCTTGAAAATAACTGTTTTTATCTGCATATATTGTAATGCACATTTTCATCTATCAGATGTCAAAATTTCAACCGTGAATCTTTAGTAGTTGTGGAAAAAACGGCTAAAACATGAAAAAAAAATCGTTCATTTCAGCGCAAGAAAAAAAAATCGTTCATTTCAGCGCAAGAAAGCAAAAAGATGCAACTTCTATGTCACATGACTGCTGCTTAGTTCAGAATCATGCTAAGTTATGCAGCTATGTGATTTAGGCAATTTTATGCTTAACAATTTTTCAAATGAAAAAATCTATAAGCGTATTTTGATCAGCAAAAACTTTCTAATAATGGAATGCAAAAAAATTGTATAATGTTTGCCACAGTTCTGCAACCCGTTCGAAGAAAGAGCATTTAACCGAAGAAGCGCTATGTTTGTTTTTGTTGCTTCAAAGTTATCATGATTTCAGATCGAAAGAAGATTCAAAAAGACCAAGATGGAGTGCAGACACGTGAACAGACTGTGCATGTTCCCCCTGAAGAACCAGAGTGTGGTGAGTCCTAGGGAGTGGATCTGTGGTGTGGAGCAGTGTGCAGTCACCACAGAGAGTGTGTGGGCATGTCTCTCATGTCCCAGTGTGGCCTGTGGCAGGAGAGTGGAACAGCACGCACTCAAACATTTCCACAAGACCACCCATCCACTCGCAATTGAGGCAAGCTCATGTCTCCCTTTGGCAACACCACACTCCCATCAGACCAGGGGCGGATTTAGGGGGGGGGGGGGGCGGACGCCCCCCTCCCCCTCAGGGATTCGACCCCCTGCCGACCCAAAGGGTCCCCCCTTTGATACTTTTTCAGAAATCCATTTTTGGCCGACCGACCCTAAAATTTTTCTAAAGGCGCCTTTGGCGCCAATATGTACTAACTTTGAGGGGGAGCGCGCGCCAAAAAAAAAGCGATTTTTTTGTCAAAGTTTTTCAAAAAGTGCCCAAAAACGGCTTTTTTGACTGTTTTTTCAAAAATTTGCCTGCGGCGCAGAAAATTTTGCCAATATAGGGGCAAAACAGTGCTTTGGGAGAGCTCGAAAAATCAATTTGGTCGACCTAAAAAAAAAAGGTCGTCAAAATTTTGGAAAATTTTTTGAAAATCCTTCAATTTTCATGTAAAGATAATCCATAAAGGTCCATCATATAATGGATTGCCATAAAGGATCACCTTGAGTCATTCGAAAGCTGAAATATATTTTTTGTTCAGACCACTCGAAGAGTGGAAAAGGAAATAATGGGTCCGTTTTTATTTTTGTTTCAAGCCAGTGTTGACTAGCTTAGTTAAAGCTCGTAGATGGTCAAATATGCTATCATTTTAAAGCCTTATTGGTCGTGCCCTGAGTCAGATCGTAAAAAAACTCAAATATGATGTCGAGAAAAACTGGTCTGAATATTTTGCAGGCCAAATTGTTGCGATTTTTTGAAAGGCTACAAATCAATTACTATTTTAGCTTAATGTTTTTGCTCATGGTTGCAGCTTTTCACTTAATTAAATCACTAGTTACTTAAAAAAAATACAATAAGTTGGGGAAAAAGTTTGCGATTCTTTTTTGAAATTAGTTTCTACTTTTGATAATTAACTTTGGAGGGAGCACAGCAACCGGCGATATTTGTGATGTTAAGCCACGGAGCGCTTTGCTGGTGACTCTTTTTTTGAACACCTGCCGCAGAAAACTTTTCGACATACAATCGACGTCTTACAGTGTCAACTGCGCTGCCTGAGGGGTGATGGGTTCACCGGTCGAGGTTTTTTGAGATCAAAATGAGCCAGTGGAAGGCTATAAAAACTCCAGTTGACTCAATTGTTTCTAATTTCCCTCGCCGATGAATTGAAACTTATTTATCAAGTTCTAGACACGCTAAGATTTGATCTGTTCTTCGACAATTTGTCCTTCAGGGAAAGGAGGCTCTACCGAAAAGCAAAACTCGTGGTACAAAAGTGTTTTTTTCGTTGATAGGTCAACGACCGATTTGTGTTCTGCTACGTGTGTGACGACTATGTACTCAATGACAACGCAGCTGGTGACCTGAAGATCATCAGGAACATCCTGGAGTCCCAGCAGACTCAGTTGTTCGCAGTGTGTGAAACACGATCCGGACGAGTCCTCAGATCCGTCAGACCCAGCCATTCCGAAATAAAGGTGCAATTGGTTTTTATTGAGATAAAATGCCGCCAATTGTTTCATCTGCACTTTAGAAAACGAACCGTGGAGTAGCATTTGGGAGTCTGAATTGTTCAGTGTATGGCGAGATGATCAAAAATTGAAACTTCTGTCGGCTTCTTGATTATTACGGTTGCAGGAAGGATAAGATATTTCATGTCTTCTGAAAATCTAGGAGCTATATAGGCAGTCATAGAAAAAATTGCTTTTGAAATTAGTTCATACAAAATTGCATAGTTTGATCAGTTGTCGCATTTTTTTTGTTCATGAATCATTTTATGTTGCTCTTGACTTTTGATTGTTAAAAAATATTATCCGAAAAAATGATGGAAACGATAGAGAAAGCAATTTCAGAACTGAAGAGACTGATGAAGGGTTTATTTTTTAAGGGCCAGAAGAAGAAAATCAAAGAAGAAGATAAGATGCTGAATGCGTTGAGACAGTGGCGAGTATCCTCCATTCAAAGACATTACTATATATGGAAGGAAAGTACGACATTCCAGAAACACAAAAGAAAGCTCGAAAAGCTTAACAAGACGCCTCCTGTATCACCGCCCAGTGGTCGTCTAGCCGAGCTACTGAAATCGAAGAAAAGAAAAAATAACTCGCCAGAGAATGATGACTTACCATTGTCATCCTTGAAATCGTCTATTGGTCGACCTCCATCAAAGAAAACGAAAACCGAGACCTCAGATTCAGTTGAAATACCACGAAAGAGGCCTAAAATTGCTTTAACTCCAGGAATCCTTGGACTGCGGAACTTGGGTAACACGTGCTACTTGAACTCAATTCTGCAAGTGCTGGGTCATCTTTTGCCATTCACTGAGTTTTTCCTCCGTCTTAACATATCTGGATTCTCCAATCCACCTCAGTCGCCAACTCCGCTGAACAAACACGATGTACTACCAGTGAGTCCTTTGAGTCCACTGGCTACAGCTCTCGAAGAAGAACTAGCGAAGTTAACCGCTGAAACCGAAGAATCAATGTGTTCGTCTAGCATTACATCGTCCATACGAAAACGAAGAATAAAACGAATGTCGACTTCAGAATGTTATCAACTCGTTAGTCGCAAAACATGCAACGGTCTTGAAGGTGGATCAACTTTGTCGTCAGTATTACGTCATAGTATCGCGACAGATTCGGCTGCTGTCTCTTTGGACAACTCGGAAACGTGTTCGGAAGTTGACGAAGAGTCTAGCGAAGTCGTTTTATCCGAGGAGTTACATGCCTTACTTCGGGTTATGTGGGCAGGGAAGCATCATTTAGTGGCGCCTTTTGGCCTCTTACACAGCGTGTGGAAAACGATTCCGTTTCTGAGGGGTCACGCACAACAAGATGCTCAAGAGTTTCTTCAGGTGTTTCTTGATCGAATAGAGCGTGAATTAATTGGTTATTCGCCTAGCGTTAAATACAAGTTGGAAGATCTTTTCTACGGCGAAATAGCTAGCGAAGTCAGCTGTCTTAAGTGTAACTCAGAGAATAAAGTTCTGGAAAGGTTCTCAGACCTACCACTGGAGTTCCCAGAAAGGTTTCAAAGCAGCCGATGTTCAAAAATGGAGTCTTGTAATGTCTATGAAATGTTGGCTCAGTTTACAAATACTGAGTCTTTGGGACGAGTGTATAGTTGCGAGTTCTGCAAATCGAATCAACGTCTTAGACGGAAACAGATTCTTACAGACGCAGAGAAGCGACTCGTTTTTACCAAGTTACCTCTAATTCTCACTGTTCACTTCAAACGGTTTCGGTGGTTTGGGAGAACGGGACGTGAAAAGATCAATGCTCACGTTGATTTCCCGTTCGAGTTGGACCTTTCGGAATATATGGGAAAAGATCTCGGAGAACATGCTACCTATACTCTACAAGCAGTTGTGAGACACCATGGCAGTGGCTTTACATCTGGACATTACACAGCTTACTGCTGGAACTATACTTCACAATTTTGGGTTCACTTCAACGATGCAAAACCAGAAAGATGCACGGAAGATGATATCAAACACACTCAAGCGTACATTCTTTTCTATGTAAAAAGAAATGTGGATTTCCAAAAACTGGGGTTTAAAGTTCTGAATATAGTCGAGAACTCAAATTGAACTGAACGTTTATTGATTTGTTATAAATGCGGGAGAAGTAAGTGATTTCCAAATATTTTCGTATCAAATATCTTGTCTTTGATTCCTTTTTAGTTCTGTAAGATTAATCGCTTTCTTTATTTTTGTGCATTTAATGTCTTAACCTAATTTTATGGTGAATTCTTATGAGTTTTTCACAAATGTGGCAATAGGTCTCATTTAAAAGTTAGCAGAAATTTACTTCTAGAATATACAATTTCCAGGATGAAGATTGGGTTTTGAATAGAGATGGTTTTGGTTGGTGCCCAAAATAAGACGACAGGCAATTACGACGACAAGACATTAAGACGACAAATAAGCGTTAAAATATGTAAAGTAAGCTGGTCGTGTTTAAGCGGCTGATTTTCTGAGAAATAAAATAGAGGAATTTGCGTGTAGCGTCGTCTTTAAGTACCACCAAAAGTGTTTGTCGTCTTAACAGCTGTCGTCTTTTTTGCCGGACACCATTTTGGTTTAATGTCAGCAATATAAAACAATGCAGAATCGTTTTTAAATATCAATAATTGTAGTGAAGACAATTTAATTAATTGTCTCTATAAAGCTGAATGAAATTTCGGGTTTTTTTTTCCACTAAATTATCTAAGTTTTCTGAAATTGCATTAATTTTAGCAGAAAACTGTGAATTAGAAATTGTTTTTGAAATTCAAATAGATCTGAGGCCGTAAATTTTTTATTTGAAATTTTGAAGTTGATTATTTCAGTCTGTTCGATTTTTCTAATGATTCGATGAACGTAGTTCAGACTCGTATATAATAGGTCGTGATGATTTTTTTTCGAGAAAAGTTTCATATTTGTTCCGGCTGAAATTGAGACGCTCATTGATACCTTTTTATTTGACTTTTGGCTATGTTTTTTTTTCATGCAGTTGGGACAGTAAATATTGAACTGTTAAGTCCTAAAAACCAAAAGAGGTTAGCTATGATCATTCGCTATCGGTTCATGTAACAAATTTGCTGCAAGTCAAAGTTAATGCTGCACAATGCTTCTTGAAAATGTACATTTTGGAGGATAAAAAAATGTTTAATTTTTTCCACGAAAAAGCCTTAAAAATCGTTCACTCTCAATTCGTTGTTGTTTGAAGTTCGATTTTTGATATTTTTAACAAATCAAGTTCAATTGTTTAAATCAAGGAAAATTGCGCTCTCGATTAACAAAAGTGCAAATGGCGCGAACAAATGTGAATGACTTTCAATTGAAAAATGGATTTAGGTAACTTTTTGTATTCGGCTCAGAAATCCTAAAAATAAAGACTATTTCAAGACTATTTTTCAAAATTAAAGACTATTTGAAGACCAGTGTGTTCGTGTCATTTGCTTTTTGTTAATCGAGAAGGTAATACGCCATACTTTTTTATTAGGTTTAATTTAGGTTATTTTTCGCTAGTGCATAATTATAACGCTCGTATGGCCATATCCAGTTTGTGCACCGACCGTTACTACATGCGTTGGTCCCTTTTGTAATCTATCATTTATGTAAATGCGGGTTTCACTATTTCGCCATGTTTAAGGTTTTTTAACGTATTATTTTTGCATGTTTAACGAAATAATTTTTGCACGTTTAGACTATAACGTATTTTGCAATGGTTAAGAAATAGTGCAAGTAAATATTGGTAGGGTGTCATTGTTCCCCCAGGAGTTGCGAAATTGGCCTCCACTTATGAATACATGAATACCTAAAATCTTTTTAGTTTGCGAGACACGACAATTTTTTTAAAAAATTTTGGAAAATTTAAAGCGAAAAAATTGAAATTCCCAACCCTGTAATTGGGTGCTGTCAGGTTACTCACAGGGGTTGCAAATCTGGTGTACTAAATTGACTGCTGAAATTTTTGTGCTTTTTGAGATATGACGTTTTCATGATTTTTCCAAAATTTTCAGAAAATTTAGATTAAAAAAACATAGTCTTGGATTCTTTGAAAAGTTTGAACTTCCCAACACTGGTGTTAGATGCTGTGAGGGTAATCTCAGATATTGGAAATCTTGCGTCCAAATGCTTGTAGTTTCCGAGATATGACTTTTTTTTATTTGTACAAAAGTTACCAAAAATTGAGATAAATGTTTTTAACTAAATTGGTAATTCACATCTCTATAGCTTGGTGCTGCCCGGGTAGTCTCAGAAATTGCAAATCTTTCCTCCGAATGTGACTGCTGAAATCATTTTAGTATCGAAGACAAGACATTTTTCAATATTTTTTTTGTAGATTTTTCAAAAACTCGATTTTAATGAAGTTTCACGGAATCTGTAATTCCCAACACTATAATGGAGAAATATGTGGGTACTCCCAGAGATTGCATTGCTTTCCTCTAAATTTGACTGCTCAAGTCATTTTAGTTTCCGAGATAAGCTTTTTTTGATTTTTCAAAACTTTTTAAAAACTTAATCTAAAAAAACTTAACAGTTTAAAAAATTCTCAAGACTATAGTGGGGTGCAGTCCAAGTACTCTCAGGAAAATACCTGGACTCCAAATACACATTTCATTTTGCTAGCTAAGACGTTTTTTTTTTCAAAAAATTTGAACAGTTTCAATTTCAAAAGAAGTACTTTTCAAAAGTTGAAATTGTCGTCCTAATATTGTTGCTCAAATTTTCGAAATTGACGTTTTTTAATATTATTTCAAAATATTTTATGAAACTAAAAATTAAATTAAGAAAAAATTATGTTTTTAACCTAATTACGCTGGATTTGATGGCAGCAAACATTTTACCTACGGGCTAATGAAAAGAAAGAACTAAGTTAATTAACGGTTTAATTCATGGTTTCACAATGAGATCGTTAAATCTAGAGGGCATCGGCCATTTGTTCAATTTTTGAAATCAAAAGCGTTGTTTGATAATTTTTGAAATCAAAAGCGTTGTTTGATGATTTTTATATTGTTTTATGATTAGGTAGTTTAGATAAGTTGTATGATTAGGTTATTTTATTTATAATAGAAAACAATTATTTAAAAATGCCTAAAAAATTAAGCCTAATGTGATGAATTTTGGTCTCGATAACTCATTTTGGTCTCAAGGAAGAAGATCAGCGAGGCAAAGCTTATGTGTTTAAGTGTTCATAATGATCGTAGTGACGGAATTTGTAGAGGCGGATTTTTTAAATTAGTTGGTCGTTTGTAATAATGTCCTAATACCGCTTTAGGTGCCATTTTTATTTTGTTTCATTTGAACTTTAGAACAAGGATTATTAAATGGTTGTGAACATGAATAAAAATACCACAGTCGACTTGAAAGTTTAGTCGACTTGAAAAAATGACGAAAATTTTGACTTGTTTAAAATTTCCATTCATCCTCTTTTTTATAGCAAAAAGCTTGACGAGTCCTGGATAGGGTTTTTTCGACTTGACTGGATAACAAATATAATTGGCTAAAGGTCTGCCGATTCTATAAATGATTTTTCACTTAAATGCTGAAGCAGCGCATTTTTAAAAACCCTTAAATGGTGCGTATTGCGATAAATTAATTATTTAGTTGATATACCATTATTTGCATCATTTACAGGAAAACATAATGCGGTAACTATTGCTGAAAAAAATGTGATTTCTTTCTGTCGCAGCGTGAAAACTTGCTCCATCTTGTCACTAAATTCAACACACATTTTACACGATCTCTAATTTAGTCATGAAGATCACCAAGCTAAAATTTCTACAGTTCGGCGCTTTGGTTTTGTTGTGAGTTTGTTTTAACCGAATTTGTTGCTTGTCCAACCCGCTAGTTTTTCATAAAACTAAAATTAATTTTAGCCTTTATGCCAGCATGACAATCAAACTTTTTGGAGAGAAGATTGCGTCTCGCATTTTGGATTCTCGCACATCTGAGAGCATTAATGAAAATATAAATGAGACTTCATATTATATTGATCAGCTGAAATTAAAGAATCCAAATAAAATTCACAAGATTTTGATAACTACTGTTGGACGCTCGGGATCGTCTGTTTTTGGACAACTATTGAGTCAGATGTCAGCTAAGTCGTGGTATGTTTTCGAGCCATTCCATCAGTACTCGAAGAAAACAAACAGGTTGGATTCTTTTCAATTCAAACACTATTTCAATTAAGCCGCATAAGAACAGAATGTGCAAACTTTTATTTCAATCTGTATAACCTGCGTGATCGGCAAGATGTTTTGCAACTGAAATTTTCGGTAATTTTATTTAGCTTTACAATTGCTACTCGAAACTAATCTAAGCTTTTGCTCTCGCAGCGTCAGGAAAAAATACACTAATGGACAAAACTAAACGCAAATGTCTCGGATATGTCTGGAAGAGAGAAAATGTTTACAAAACTTTTTTTTGTTTTGTTGGTCCGCCCCAACAGCAAAGAAAAATTGTAATTGTTATAGTGCGAGACTTGCAGGGCTTCAGGTAATTTGCTTTAACCAAATTCGTCATAATTTTGAAGGCTGAAATAATCGTCGCGTTTAATTAATTGGCACTCACGCGTTGAACATCATTCATAATTTTTGAAAAATTGACAATTTCTAACCACTCGAGTTTTCACAAAAAGATTGCAGGTTTATTACCTTTTTCAGATGAATATAGGGAGTTAATGTTTTCATTGAACAGTAATTTTTTTGTTGAAAGTTATAAAGTTTAAAAAAACGAAGTGATTTTAACTAACATAAATCGTGCGATTTTCCAATAAAAATAATTAATATTTCATTTACGTTTAAGTTTGAGTTCTTCTTGGTTTAAATTTTGATTTTCAATTAAATTCCGCCAAAACACGTTCGGCCTCGTAATGTTGAAGAGCGTAACAGTGATATATATTACTACAAAATTTGAAAGTTAAAAAAGTTCAAAATTAATTCAATCGTTTTTTTGTTCAGTTTCTTGAATTCATTGATACTTTTCCATTTCCAACTGTCTGTCAGCTATGTTTTTGGCAGCTGTCTAAAATTGATAACCTGGCTGAAAATTGACCCAACATTTTGGGTATGGTAGGTTGAAGTTTTTTATGGCGCTTTGAAATTTGCCAACTTTGAAAAATTTATATTCGATTTTTCGCTTATTGTGTAGTAGAGGCAGTAAAATATCTGTAAACTGGGTGGGGGGAGGGGGCGGGGGTAAACTGACGAGGGGTAAACTGGGTGGGGGAAGGGGGCGGGGAATAAACTGACTAGGGGTAAACTGTGGGGGGAGGGTTTAAACTGGAAAAAGGGGTTGTTAAAAGAGGCGATGGAGTTTACGTAATATAGAAAAAAGTAGAGAAAACTTTAATAAACAAAATTTTGTGTTAAAAGTAAAAATTTATGAAACCTAATACGTAGCAACTGGACGAAGCAAGAAACGAGATAACTTGAAATTTTTTGTAAAATTCATAATTTCTTCTCCAAAAGACACTATAATCGTTTATAATCTTTTACACTATTACACTATAATACCTCAAAAAGCTGGTAGAGGATTGTAGTATTATATAAAATCCCTATTTACTGTGATTCCGGTTCCAATAAAAAAGACCAATTGCGACTTTCAGCCCTGTTTAGTTTTTGTTGGTAAAACACCTTAGCTAACTAGTTGACAGAGTTTTTGATAACGTCCCTCCTCTGCTGAAGAACTCAAAAAAGTAAAATTTTTTCGATTTTATTTAGGTATTTTTTGCGAGCATAAATGAGTTTGGAACATTATCTGCTATTTGCACTACAACCGGCTGCTATCCTTGTTAATATTTAGTTCTGTTACAAGCGTATCTTAATGAGTGATATATAATTTGCTTGTTTTCCCATTGTTTAATAAAATTGTTCATTATCACAGATTCAAAACTGTGATGTTTTTCTGCCCAATCAGTTAAACGATTTGTTGGCTATTTCGTGTGAGAACTTGCGTGAGTTTCGTTTCTTTTCCTGCGTTTTTGCAAGATTCAACGCCGAACCCAAGGAAGCATTTCGGCTTCTGTGTGGCTTCCTGACATGTGACGTGCCTGGAGATCTCAAGAAGAAAGTATACAACCACAACTTCGCTCGTCTCACCAGACGGGACTCCCGATTGAAGCCCAGTAATCCAACGGTGTAGTTGTGTTTTTGTTTATATTGGTTCCTTGCTTCAAGTAAATCAATCGAAAGGTTGAATAGGTTGAACGTTTAAATTGAAATGTGCTAGAGATTTTAGCAGACTCAGAACAATTATAAAGTCAGATAGCTACTTTCAAACTTAGTTTTGCTCCTGAACTGAACGTAGCTATGGTAAATAAAACAATAAATTTTTTCAAATGCTTGAAAAATGTGTATCGCAATGTGTATTCCAAACGTTTTCGAAAATAATAAAGTTGCATATAATAACTTTATTTTTTTTCTAGCGCTAGAATTATTGAATAAAAAGTGTTTCACATCCGAAGTTTTCTTTTGTTACGACGACGTTTTGCAATCATCTGATGAATTTCAGGCTCCGGAAGAAGAACAGTTTAAAGAACTCTGTCCTGCTTCAGACTTGCGAATCATCAAGAGCATCCGACTATCCTTCTTGCCAGTCGAGGTTCAAAATATGATTTACAGACAACTGTTGGATCTGTTTCCAGATTTGGTCATCATCATTTTGTACAGAGACCCTAGGAAGGTCTACTTGTCCTCGTGAGTAATGAATCAGACTTATATTGATATTAAAATTTATTAGAATTATAATTTGATAATTTCATTCTCAAAATAAATGAGATAGGTATTGAGGTGAAATCTTTCCTCCTCAAATTCAAAAAAAAACGAGCAAATTTTTCTTCGTAAAGTTTTGGAAGTAATTTCGTTTGTACCGCCAAATTGATGTGTAAGTGTAGCTTGAATTGTTTCAGTAGCAGTAAAAGCTAAAAATAGCAGTTTTTAGTTGCAGTATTGCAAATTTTGATTGAAGATCAACACTTTTTCAACTTTTGGTAAAAAGTATATAATGAAATTTACAAGTTTCAAATTGGAAAAAAAATGTTTACTTCTCAAATACCAAGAGCAAGAATATCAAAAAGCGCGTTGTTGATAAGTCGACGAGCGTAGTGATTTCGATGAGCGAAGAGTCGATGCCTGTTTCCTTGAGTTCATTAACTCTTTTTCAACTGTCTGTTCAAGAAAAAGTAAATTGTTCTTTCTCAGGAATCGATTTTTCGCGGTTTAAATGCTAATTTATTTCCGTCTCATTCTATATTATTAAATTTCAGTGAACGTGGTAAAGACACTTATAGAGCTCGTGATGATTTAATTTATTTTTTTTAATAGGAAAAAGTCTTAATATTTGTTCAATTCAAAATCATTATGATTGAAAATCAAATTACGCTCTTCAATTGCAACAGCTGATTTCGAAAATGATTTTTTCCGAGAAATATTAAATTTTCTATCGCATTTTTTCAAATTGGGTTAAATTTATCAAAAGCGTCTCAATCATAAGTTGTTCTTCAAATTATAAAGTCAATCACTTTTTTAAGTTTCCTTGTGTTACTGACTCTTCTCCACCTGGTTTTTGGCTACGTTGTTTTTCTAAATAGATGGCAAATTATGCTCTGATAGTAAAATATTTAAGTGGACGCTACGGGGAATCGACCTCTTGACTACCCAAAGTGTCCTCTTTTGCTACTATTTTCTGACGTTCATTTTTTGGCGGATCGACTCTTAATTTTTTCTAAAAGCGTTTCTGGTGCAAAAATTTGCTACTTTTGAGGGCAGAGTATGCGCCAGGAAACCTTGCCTGCGGTTTTGAATTTTTAAAAGTTTGCTCGCAGTTAGTTCTTAATCTGAAACTCATGGAAAATTGTTTTCAGAAGTTTTTTTGTCTCTTTGTTTTCATTGACTATTTTGACCCTTGCGATAATCAGATGCACTGCGGAAAACTGCGATTTGTGCAGTTATTAATCTATTAACCTTTTAATAATTATCTGGCGCACGCTGATTCGTTCAAATCTCGCTTTTGCCTGCAACTTCAGACCATGAGGCAAAAATTTGTCACAAGCATCCATTGGCCTCAGTTGACAATTGGTAATGCTTCAAAAATTACAATTCACGGCAATTTATTATAACAAATAGAAAGCCAATCTATCTACGGGGTCTTTCAGTTAGAATGGTTTTTTTGAAACGTCAATAACTTTTAAATGGAACATTGGATTTAACTGATCCTTTTTACATTTATTATATAACAGATTAAGATTTTTGAACACGTACATAAGAGTTATAATAACTGCTGGAAATGTCCGCCATTTTCTTGAATACAAAGATGGAACCGCTTCTCAAAATTTGTTGCTGCTTTCACTCCCTGCGCCGGAGTTAGCGTTCCACAAGCGTTCTCCACGGTTTGCATAATATTTGGGACTGTCTGGGGGTTGGTATCAAATATCATTTCACCCAAATGACTCCATAGCCAAAAATCCAATGGATCAATTCCGGGCTTTAGGTGGCCCAGGAATCGCACTCCTCCTGCTTATAATCCTCGCGCCAAATTTTGAGTGGAGCCATGTGACGACTCTCTCTGTGCAGTGGCACGTTGCAGCATCCTGCATTAACCACAGGCGCCGAAGATCGCGGTGTGTCAGAAGAATTGGCCAGAGTTTAGACTGCAACATGTCCAGATACGTCTGCTGGTTCAAAGTGACCGGATTTTTTCTTGCATCAACGAACAAGAATGGGCCCAATAAAGTACCTTTAAGTACCCCCACCCACCACATAGCCTTTTTCTTGCCTTGATATTTACACTCCAATATTTCTCGGGGATTTACAAGAGCCCAGTGTCTCCGGTTCTGAGAGTTTGGAGCAGAGTCCAAAACCCACCATTTTTCATCGGAGAAGATGACATTTGAGGCAAAATTGGTTGTCAAATTGAGCAAGTTGATAAACCAAAGACAAAAAGTATGTCGCATTTGGTAATTGACTGGGGATATTTTCTGGGTTTTAATAATTTTAAATGGCTTTAATTTTAGCTCTTTCGCGATCCTCCTTAGTGTTGTTTTTGAGTATTCAAGGTTCGATGCGGCTTTACTGATTGAGTGGGTAGGGTTTCTTTGGAAGTTAGCTTAAACACGGTTCTTAGCATTGGTATCTTGCGTTATTTCAGTTCCTTTGCGATTGGAAGTCGCATGGAGTGCTTGATAATCTTCTTGAATTTTTCCCCATACACGAGAAAAATGATGACCTTTCAATCTTGTGCTTTCAAGAGGCGTGATATTGAAGTCCTGGATATATTGCCGGCGTACTAAGGTTAGATTGTCAAGTCTTGCAAATAAGCAAATAATGTGTTTCTTTTGCTCAACAGTAAAAGGCATAGTGAACATTCAAACAGGGTAGAAAAGGCTAACTGCATATGCTTACTCAGCCTGTGTGAACATGTTTTGTTAGACGTCTGATTTTCCCGCTGTAAATTTTCCCACGTGTTCTAAATTATTATAACTTTTGTGTACGTGTTGTAAAATCTTAAGCTGTCATATAATAAATGTAAAAAGAATCAGTTAACTTCAATGTTCCATTTTAAAGTTATAGACGTTTCAAAAAAACCATTCTAACTGAAAGACCCTGTATATCTATCTATGTATCTATCTATCTATCTATCTATCTATCTATCTATCTATCTATCTATCCCATATATCTATCTATCTATCTATCTATCTATCTATCTATCAAGGCTTTTATGCTATATTAAATGCATGGGTGCGACAGCTATCTCCCATGTTTAAGTATGATAATTTTGCATGTTTAACGAAAGAAATGTTTCACGTTTAAGATATATCATGTTTTGCAATGCTTAAGAAAATTTTTCGATGAAATTTCCGCAAGGTCATTAATTTTTCAGCAATTTTTTTTTCGAGGTCAAATTAAGTCTCTCTGTCTGTATACCTGCTTTTTCATCTATCTGTTATCTATTATTACATATTTAAATGCGGGCTTCACTATCTCCCCATGTTTAAGCTTTCTCAAGGTATTGTTTTTCCTTGTTTAACAAAAGAATTTTTGCACGTCTAAGCTATATCGTAAATTGCAAAGGTCATGGTTTTTTTTCGATTTCCCTAGTTTGAATTCAGGGTTTTTTATCATCAAAATTGAAATAAGCAATCGAATAGCGGGATTCGGTCATGGTTTTCCCAGGTTTTTGGATTCTGGCCTCCATATACGAATAACCGAATCCTTTTTGTTCACAAGATACGGCAATTTTCGAGATTGCTGTATCTTGTATAACCAAAATTCGAGATATTGAAATTTATTTTTAAAAAAGCCTCAATTTTTTTAAACTCTCACCCTGTAGTTGGGTGCTGTCAGGGTACTCTCAGGGGTTGCAAACCTTTCTTTCAAATCTCACTTCTCAAATCCTTGTAGTTTTTGAGATATGACGTTTTTTATGATTTTTTCAAAAATTTTCAAAAAAATTAGATATTTAAAAAAATCCAAAATATTGAAGATCTCGATCATGCTGTTGGATATTTTGAGGGTACTCTCAGGGGTTGCGAATTGTGCCTCTGATTATGGCTGCTCGAATCTCTTAGTTTTCGAGACATGACGTTTTTTAGGGATAATTTCAAAAATTTTCAGAGAAATTAGATATAAAAAATTTCAAGTTACCATTTTGTCAAGTCTCAAGAGTTGCGAAAGTTCTCTCCAAGTATGACTGCTCAAATCCTTGTAGTTTCCGAGATATGACGTTTTTTATGATTTTTTTCAGAAATTTTCAAAAAAAACTTAGATGTTAAAAACTCCAAAGTTTTGAAGATTTCAGTCCTGTTGTTGGAAACTGTGAAGCTTCTCTCAGGGGGTTGCGAATATGCTTCTGAATATGGCTGCTCAAATCCTTGTAGTTTTCGAGATGTGACGTTTTATATGATTTTCGCAAAATTTTTCAGAGAATTCAGATATAAAAAAAAATCACAAAATTTGAAATTACCATCTCTGTAGTGATGCCCTGTCGGAGTACTCTCAGGAGTTGCGACGAACCTTACCTCCAAATATGACTTCTCAAAACGTTGTAATTTTTTTTGTGATTTTTTCAAAAAAATTTTATGAAAGTAAAATTTAATTTTTTTTCAAAATTTGAAATTCTTAATCTGTATTTGGGGGCTGTCAGAGTAATCTCAGGGGTTGCGAATTTGGCCTTCAATTAAAAATTCCCAAATATTTTAAATTTACAGTACGAAGATTTTTGTGATTTTCTAGGAAATTTTCAGTAAACTAAAATTACAAAATAATTCACAAAAGTTAAATTCCCAACCCTGTAATTGTATGCTGTCAGAGTACTGTCAAAGATTGCGAATATTGCCTTCAAATAAGACTGCCCAAATCTTGGTAGCTTTCGAGATGAGACATTTTATGGTTTTCAAAAAATACCTTTTTTCAAAAGTGGAATTTCCCAACGTTGTAATTGGGTACTGTAAGAGTACTCTCTGGCGTTGCAAATCTTGAGTCCAAATGCGACTGCTCATTTTCGTTTAGTTTCACACATGTGACGTTTCTTAGTTCATTTTTATTTTTTTTCGAAGATTATTTTAAAAAAACTTCACAAAGTTTATGGTTTTTCAAAATTTGTTTAAAAAAATTAAATAAGAAACTTTGCAAAGTTTGTAATTATGAACCCTGTAATTGGTCGCTGTCAGAGTACACTCAAAGAATGCAGATCTTATTTTCAATATATGCGGTCTTTATGAGGTTAAAAATTCGGAGTACCGGAGGTGCGTTACACGCTAGTTTGATTTAATTTGATATAGCAATGCACAGCAAAGAAACGACCATGCCTCAAGGGTTTCGGGTTTAAAAAGTATGTTTCGCCGAACTACTTATTCATGAGTCCCCATGAACTATCATTTTTCAAATTTCCGACGAAGTAGCGCTTGCTACGATTTGTCGCAAATACGTGCGAGCTTTGGAGTTTCTTGGATAATTATCAGTTATATTGGATTCTTATTGTCAGTCTCTATGTAATTCAAAAGTATTTTTTTTCTTCATTTTAATTTTTTATGGTTTTTTTTTCGATTTTGAATTTTGCTGATCTCTTTGTACCCTCAATACCTCATTAACATGATTCACCTCCCTTTTCGTACCTACAGCATATGGCGCGATTAGCAAGCGTTATCAAATCGGAATCTAAACTTTTTTTTGGGTTAAAAGCTAGTTTAACAAAATCAGCTTTGTTATGGTGCTGCTATGCAACTGACATGCTCATTTTCAAACCAATTCAAATTAAATTACTGAGTGGGTAATAGTTGCTACATGGTAGTTTTAATGTTTTGCTTCACATGTTTGCTTGCCTAGAATTCCTGTTTGATAAAAACAGGTATTATGCAAGTTTATAGGAGTATGATTTTTTTTTATTTCTTGAGATGCTTTGAAAATGTTTTCACTTTTTGCACATAATTTACATTTTCTCAAAAACCCTACCACCAATTTTCAAAAAAAGAGTAGCCGTAGAAGGAGCGCCTACATTTTTGTGTGCCTGCATACAATCCTGGTGTCTTTTCGCTTGCACCTTTGTCTACAGCCTGCGAAAATCTGGGGGGATTTGTGGAGAAGTTTTTATCCAATATGTTTTGAAAACTTACCTACCAAATCTGAGATTTTTGTTTCAATGAACAGGTTTGAAAAACTCCCTCCACAGGCGGCTACGCCCATATTTTTTTACATATTTAATTATGGCCCTCGGAATAGTCAAATTTTTAATTTTTTGACCGTTTTATTACAATTTTTTGAATTTTCTTGAGAACTGACCTGCCAAAGTGGGGTTTTTGGGTTCAATGGAAATTACAGGCTGAGTTAATGTCTTCTTTGTAAGCGACTACGCTCAATTTTTTCTAAAAAATGCTATGATTCTCGGAAATGTCAACTTTTTAATTGGTTGACCGTTTTCTGGAATTTTCTCGATAATTATCCTGCTAAATGTGATTCCAAAGGTTTAATCGACACAACAGCTTGTTGGAAATTTTCCTTTATAATTTTCTAAGCACAGTTGATTTTCGAAAAAAGTTTTGGCCTTCAAATAAGTAAAAATTTTCAACTTACCGTGCCAATTCTCAGGTTAAGTGTTCAATCGAGAAATTACCGGCCACGTACTGCTTTTAGCTGAAACAATTACGGATTTTGGAAAGTCATGTTTTTGATTTTTTGACCGCTTTTGGAAACTTTTTGAATTTTCCTACAAACTCCCCTATGAAATCGGAGATGAAAATTTCAGTCGAAAGAAGCGGTTGAGCAAGTTTTTCCTGTAGAAGCGGCTGCTCTTTATTTTTTTGTAAGAGAAAGAGTATCCTGTCGAAAAATTCCAAAATCTCAAAAATTTTCATTATCATTTATTTTTTCATTCTGAAAAAACTCAGATTTTGGTCCAGTTTTTGAAATATCGCCGCATTTTGTCCCGCATCAGTATAACAAATAAAAAATATCAATTACGTACCTCCAGCTTTAGCTTGGCCCTAGGTGTCCTTCATCGAGACATACGAAAATTTTGGTTTACCTAATCTGTTAAAAATTCTTATCATTATTTCAGTGAAGACAGGCACTTTAATGTTGGTGGAATTCAGCAGACATGCGCAGATCAACTATCACTCTACTTGTCACTGGGTACGTCGGAAACTTAGCTTTATTAAACAGCGTTGGCTTGATATCTGGCAAAAGCTTTGAGATTTCTAATTGTTTGCCTTGAATTGATATAAATAAAGTGATCATTTATTTTGCAAAAGCGAATGAAATATGACATGTAAAAGTTTAATCCAGGCGTAATTTTTCGTATAATGTTCAAATTAAAACGAGACTTTCTTAATGAAGCAATTCTATTTGAGTTCAAATGCACTCCTAATGCATAAGAAATGGTGTCAGTGGGTCAGGTTTTAAGTTATTTAAGGTATTTTTTCTATGAAATCTCAAACTTTGAAAGTTTTTATTTAAAATTGGGGGTGCAATTTTTAATTGGTCTTAATTTTTTTTCTGGTATGAAACATTTTATTTGTTCAGGCAAGTATTCATCTGAACACAATTCCGAATACCCTCACGCCAGCCGAATCATTTCGGTCAAATATGAACAAATGACATCAGACATGCTGAACTTCACTCAACAATTGAAGAGAAGAATCTTCGGGTCAAATTTAGACAATGAAGCTGTAGCTTGGATCAAGAAAAATTTAATCGACCACCGGCCCAAAGGAAATCGGTATCAAATGTCGGAAGAAATTTCAAGGAAAGTTAAGGAAGTTGAAGTGTGCGCAAATATGGTTTCGTTTGTTAACTACAAATTTTAAGATTACAATCAGAATTGCTTAATATTAGTATTTTCAATGAAGAATTTTCAATTCAGCTAAATGAAATAATTCTGATAACGAAAAATTTAACCAAGAGAACTTTCATTAATATGCGCATATCAAAAATCATACCCAACTTAATTTATTGTTGATCGCGTGATTTGAATTAATTTTTTGAAATTATTTTCTTTTTTGTCATTTTTGCTGAGTTTGTGTTAAACTGACGAATCCATATATGCTATTATCCAGTGATCCTGAGGGCAAAGCGAGTCAATTCTTGCTGGACGATTGTCCATTTCCGATTTGAAAGCTTATTTTTATATCTATAATCTGATGAAATTTTTTAAGCATTATCAAGTGTTAACTTGAACATATCACTTCTCAAATTTAGTATTCAAAGATTCAATATTCGGAATTTGATATTCGAAATAGTTAATTTTGGGTAAAAGGTATCGCGCTTTGTGTTCGCCCAAAACAAAAAAATCAAATTTACTGTGTAACCATAGATTTTACGAAATTGTTCACAAAGGCAAAATGTGTTTATATTTGAGTAATGAACCAACATGCCATCAAATGTAAACAAGACTGCTCGTACCACGGCGAAGCCTTGATTATTCCGACTGACTTTTGATGTCTACGGTTTAGTGTTTGCTTTAATAAAAATGATGAAATTTCCATAAAAAAATTCTAAACAATTTTTTGAGAAAATTTCTAGCCATTTTTTTGAAATTTATTTTGAAAGTTATCCCCCCACACTGGGGCAGATATAGGATTTTCTCGAGAGGTGGGAGGAAGCCAATTTTTAAAAAATTTCGAAAATGTCGACTATTTTAGCTCGACCAAATAAATTTTACCAGTTCTACCAATGCATTAAAAAGACCCTCTTTTGCAAAATTTTGTGCGCCGCAGTCAAAATTTTTCAAATACAGACCAAAAAAGGCATTTTTAGACACTTTTTGAAAAAAAATTGACCTAAAAATTGCGCTTTTGGGCTTTTTTAGCGCCCCTTCCCCGCTCAAAATTAGTATATATGGGCGCCGAAGGCACCTTCAGAAAACTTTTAGTTTCCGTCATCAAGTATGGATATCTCTAAATTGTACTAAAGGGGACCCTTTGGGTCGGCAGGGGTCGAATTCTTGAATCCACCCGTTTTCAGCTTTTACTGTTATTGAAACATTTTTAGGTATACTTACATGTAATTTTTGGGGGTAAAAACGAATTTTATTTTTGAGCTCAAGGCGACAATTCTTTTTAGATGGTATAAAAACTCAGCCAAAAAAAGCTAGTTAAACAGTCGAAGTTTGTCTGGATAACAAAAAGCCACCCCGAGCAAAAATATTTGGTCACTTTCCTCGAAAGTAGTCGGAACAGTTGATGAGACAAAAAGCTCGTCTGTGTTCAATTTGGAAAAATTTTGTATTGTGTGATAAATATTCGTGTTACGCTTTCAGTATAAAAATTGAATTTTTCACAGCGTGCATAAATAGTACAGAGCATTGACAAATTGGAAGTTTTCAAACCCCCACAAATTTACATACAAAAATGGTGATAAAGTATGTTTCACTTTTGAACACAGGAAATCAATCAGCCTCCATGAGATATAAAAGTCTTTGTTGAAAACTACTAATTCGATCGCCAAACTTTGACTTAAAAATACTTTTAAATTCAGAACAATAACTGCCAGTGTTGAGAAACGCCAGAAAAGCTGTGTAATGACTTTGTGACTAGAAAAACTGCATTGAGATAAAAAGAACATTTTTTCATTCGTAGCAAATAGAAACCATCTGTTAACTCGAATAAAGTTTAACGAAGACAAAGCAACAGTTAAGCTGTGAAATTATGCAAGTACTATTGCTGTGAACTGAACTCCACAGGTGTTTAGAAAATGTTTTAATGTTACAAATTTGATTGAATTGAAAAAATTTGATACAAGTTTAGTATGGATGAATTTTGGAGTGCAGAAATTAATTGAAATCCGCATACAACGCGTGTCTTAGAGACAAATGCTTCGCCATTACTTACTTGATGCTACCGATAATTAGGGTTTTTGCCGTTGAAGCAAGTTCTACCAAAGTTCACTGAATCTGCAGTTGATACAATTCCATACATCAAGTAATTTTGAAAATTAAGCCCAAAAATTTTTTGGTTTTTTTTTCAACTGCAAATCGATTTTCGTACGCAAACAAACATTTTTCGAAAAAAAAAATTTTGCATGCAAAGTTTAAAATTTTGTGTGCATAACGTAGTCCTGGATACGATAAAATTGGCTTTTATTTTCTTTTCACTTAATTTTTTTTTTTCAAAAACGCTGAAAATTCCTCTTTCTTTTGTATGGGGTGTTAATGTACGCCTTGATCAATGTCTGATAATTTGAAAATTCAAAAATTTAACATAATCATCATTAAAAAATTTTGCCAAAAAACAAAAGTTTGTTACTTTTGTTATATCAATTGCGAAAGACAGCCAAATTCAGGTCGTTGTCTATGCATTGTAATTGCAAGACCGTCCAACCTTTGGTGTTTTGAGTAACCAAGGTCTTTGTCACTTGTGTTCGGTTGCAACTAGAACCGAAAATTTTTCAGAAACTAAATTTAGAAAGAAAAAATCAAAATTTTTGGTTTATGGGAAAACGCCTATCATACAATTTTCATATATGGAAAAATGCTTATCATAGAGTTTTCATACAATTTTCTGTACGTATGGAATTGTATGAAATTGTATGACAAGAAGTTTCTCATATATGGAAATTGTATGATAAGAAGTTTTGGTCAACCCGGGCAACAGTTAAGCTGTGAAATTATGCAAGTACTATTGCTGTGAACTGAACTCCACAGGTGTTTAGAAAATGTTTTAATGTTACAAATTTGATTGAATTGAAAAAATTTGATACAAGTTTAGTATGGATGAATTTTGGAGTGCAGAAATTAATTGAAATCCGCATACAACGCGTGTCTTAGAGACAAATGCTTCGCCATTACTTACTTGATGCTACCGATAATTAGGGTTTTTGCCGTTGAAGCAAGTTCTACCAAAGTTCACTGAATCTGCAGTTATGCCACCCTTGTTATTCAAAGTTACATGCAAAGGCAAAAAACGAAAAAGTAAAATGGAGAAACGCTGCGCAATGGCTTGACATCTTATAAAATGCAACGACATTTGGTGGAGTTGGCTTCAGCGGTCTGTGCTGAAAACTCTCTCTGCACGATCCCTTGGGACAACAATGTTCGTCGAAATTCCAAGCCTGCATTATTTATCTTCGGTTCCATTGACAAGTGCTTTTGCTTTTGAAATTTTGACTCTCAAAAGCGAGGTGGCTCAATTTTGGGCTCCCACCCCACCCCCACCTCGTATGGGCATCAATTTAATGATGTAATTAATGGTTTTACAAGGTTAATTATGAAGAGCAAATTTGTTTGTCATGGCCCGATTAGTCCGCATGCCATTTTTCTTGTTAATCGGTTGGTGGGAACAGTTATTGGCTCTTTTTCTTTCCCCCCCCCCCACCTGTAAAATTTTACATGTAAATTTTTTGACCGCATTGTCCGATTGTTATGAAAAATTACATATAGACTAATAAGGCCACGACAAACATATTTGGTCTTCATTGGAACCTGATCTAAACTACATTTTATGATTGGATAAATTAGATATTTTACCAATGTAAAGTATTTAATATTAACCAATCATGATCCATCTGACTAACAATCCACTTATTTGTAAGTGCTGAAATTACTTGTAATTTCAGCACCAGAGAGATTTGAATTTAACTTAGAAGTTAGTTGAACTCTCCCGAGTACTTCAGCAGCCGCAATAAACCAGTATACCCTAGATCTATTGAGCCTAGCAGAGACTAGTTAAACAACCTGAGACTAGATAGTATAAGAGTAAGATTAGGATCGGTATTAGACTAAGAAGTTGCACGAATCTATCCGGCCGAAAATAAGATAGCGTGACGAGCAGACGGTGTACCCTATCCGAAATTACTCTATGAGTTATACACTTCGGTCCTAACTCATCTGGTGCGACCATAAGTCTCGAACAAGACCTTAATAGCTTAGAATTAACCAATAATAGATTAGAATTTAGACAAAACATTTACAAAATGTTATACGACAATAATTTAATCGAAATGTCTCTACGACTCAATAGATCAAAGCCAATATTCCGAACGATACGAGAACTACCCGGAATTGCAAGAAGACCTCGAACCAGAGACGACATACCACAAAGCAGAAACTTACCATATAGTTATATGATAGTTCGGCAAAAGCCAGAACAAACTTTTGTATTTAGAATACTACTAGCAATGAATTTAGATTTTCATTTGCAAACATAAAATTTTGAAGTCAATCTTCAAAATCATTTCAGGCGCTAAACAAAATTATTAATATACAATAACGATTGATAAAAAGATCTCAGATCGTTTTCCTAAATTCTGCAGTAATATACAAAACATGTTTGAAAAATATTTATTGAAAAATCAAAATAAAAATTAGTAGCATGACAATAAATGGTTAGTAATTATAAATCATCCTGTTGTTCCAGCTCCATCACCTAAACATAACAGCATTCATAAGCTCACTAATATCATAAAAACACTAAATCTTTTCTCTACACAAATTTAAATCATTTTAAAACTTAATTTCACTTAATTTTAAAAATCAGATCATCAAGGCTTATCCTTGGATCTTAAATCATTTTCTATTTAATTAAATTTAAAACTTGATCATCAAGGCCTATCCTTGGATCAAAAAGAACAACTTTGTTCTCCCCCACCCACTTAACTAGTGTCTAACGACCTCAAACGTCGATTCACTATCCAACCCTTTCTAAAAACCCAGGACTAATAGAAATTTTTGAACAAAACTAATCATTCAAATTAGGATAAACAGTGAAGAACTTCGGTTATTCATCCTTCACTTGATCCCCCCTCTTACCAGACCCAGGATAAATCATAGACTTAGTAAGTTTAAAATAGTATCTAACGAACTACTCGCGTTCTAATTATACCTGAACCTTGTGGATCGATTTACTATTCTCCAACCCTGAACACAATCACTACCCTTAAGTAAGATTAAGTAAGTTAACACCTTAGCTTATACTAGCCACGAGAAAGTATAAAATCATTCTTCGGAATCGATATACTTTTCTCCCCAACCCTGAACAAATAGACCCAGGTTAGGCTAACAAAAAAATCGTAAGGACTAACAGTTTAAGCAAATAGAAATCATTTAACAACCTTTTGCACCCGTCATCCTAAACCTTATGTCATTTAAAAACCTAGGAAATAAACAAACAATCGTTTTACACAATTGTGAAATAGATAACAAAATATACGACCTTGTAATCACACCTCATACACAAACAGT